GATAGTAAAAATATGAAGTGTCATTATATTTTAGTATCCAAATAAAGCTTACTGCAAAACGGTGAAAAGGCTGATCGGCTGTCCTCAGTCCGTTGGAAAGATACTCCTCATGTCGATTTTACAGATGGTGTAATTCTTCCTTCCTATCGGTTCATCGAAGAAGATAATTTTGACAGTAAACTTGCCTCTCTTCAGTTTCGTTGCGAATTCTATTGACCGCATTTTGCTGAAAGGTCGGCAGTCGGTGTTCCCTCTCTTCGTCGGCTTCGTTTTCAGTGTAATTGTAGTATTTTGCTGCTGCCTCTTTCGTGGTCGCTGTATAGCCTCTGTCTCTAGTTGCTGGTTGACAGTGTTTCACTGTTTGCCTTTTCTCGCCACAGGTGACCCAAGCGTAATATGAGAGTTTGTATGGGAAAAATAGAGTTTGAAACTTAGATGAAATAAATGAAGTAAAAGCGATAAAAGTTATCAATAAAGTGTAAATATTGTTACCAGGAGTCGTTGTCTTTGTTTTTACGACGTTTTAGCGCGATTTGAGTACTTTTACATCATCTGACCTGAGGTCAGATGATGTAAAAGTACTCAAATCATGTCAAATCGCACTAAAACTTCGTAAAAACTATTTTTCCCGTACAAACTCTCATATTACGCTTGGGCCACCTGTGTTCTCGCGCTGAATTTCAAGTCGACGTTCTCGCTCTTGCGGAGTTTTGTTTGTAAATCTTTCCCCACGAGGACTTCCAGCCTCTTATTGAATCCACCGTTGTTAAGTTTGCTGTTCTCTTTTATTTGCCTGAGATATTAGTTGGTGATTCACCGATAGTAAACATTGTTGTAAGTACCCGTCCTCATGAATAAAACCGGGAGCTTTGTCATCGATGGCAATCGGTTGCCTGGAAACCCACAATGCACTTTGACGTCACTACACTGAATGACGTCAAGGCGGACACCAACCAAACTCGATAGATTTATAGCCAAGAGAAAATCACGCTGGCCTTGCGATGCTCGTGTGATACACGCACGCTTAGTGCGCGACGAGATTATAAACGTCGCGGCTCGGCGCTTCGCAAGGAATAATTAACAATTATTCTTTGAAATCAAGGTAAATATTCCTAAAGCCACTATTCACCGAGATTGAAAAGAATAATTGTTTTAGTATATACACACGAAGTGATCTCAGCAAAATCAGAGAGGAAACCATTAAAAAGTACGATTTGATTGACAGATCAGGTCAGCTAGACACGCGAAAGTTTAAAAATAGATCTTTGCAGAATTTTCAAACATGGCAATTCACAAGCTTATCACTTCGCACACAACAGCGTTATGACTTAAATGGAACCGCTAAAAGTTTGAAATTTTCCTTACCTGACAAGAAAAGAAGAGCTCTGTTGTTTTCTGTTGACTCGCCAAGTTTATAACCGAAAAGGTTTGTTGTGTCGCTCTTCGCATGAAGTGCTGTCAAAAATAGCGATTCGGTTCCTCGAGGTAAGACGTCGTCTTCATAGAGCATTCTTTCTCCTATCTACTTGAAACATAGAATTTCTGCAAACATTTGCTTTCAAATTTGTTTGTCATAAATAAAATTCGTTTTTGGGCCCCATTTTTCTTGTTTGGAAACGCTGAGTTCACGAAACGGCCTCTTCTAGCTAGGCGAATAAACGGGAGTTGTAAACAACCTATCGACCACAAAACTCAACTACAGTAAATGGAAAAACGCTGTTTTGAATCCTTCGAAGTCTTTTCTTGCTTGCAAAAAAGTCAACCCTAGGATTTTGTCGATTTTTAAAAGACCTTTCTCTAAAAAAATGGGAAAAAAACCGAGCTCACACATTATCCACTCGCTAGGAGGTGAATATTGTTGAATAGTCCGAGATAGCGAACCAATCAGATTGCTTAAACCACCAGGATCACTGAGTGTGTATATACTAAATGGTTTTCTACTGCGTTTGCCTGGGCTGTAAGCCTCCTTAATACCTTAAAAGGCGAACAATGTTTGGATCTTGAGGTTAGCAAAACTGAAAATGGCTTTAATAAATCGCGGTGCTGAACTCCATCTGTAGTTTGTCTGAATAAGCAACCCCAAATCGGAAATTGTGTTTGCCTGAAAATTTCTTTTTGGACAGTTGGATGTAGCTGACTTTTGACCTAGGACACTTTTCTTTGAGACAATCCAAACGCAGATTTTGCCTTTCTCTACTAAAACTAAAACCACACTCCCAATAGATTTTGTGATAGGTTAAATCTAAATTTGCATTATTTTGTAGATTCACAATTAGTGAGTATATTTGGGCATGGGTCCTAAAAAAATACACCGGTCGAGCATTCTACATGTACGTTCTTGCAGGCGTTTCACACAAATATGTTTGGAACGCTGAAGAATCCATCTCCGGGTTTTTACTCACGTTCTTTTTGTCGCGTCAAGTCCAAAGACTGTGAGATTGTGCAACCATTAAACCTTATCGGATTTTTTTCTAAAGGAACGCGCCCTTGATTAAAATCATTAAAAGTTAACAGCCGGAGAAGACATTTTTAACTTACCAATGACTTTTGCTTTACCTTCTTCCTTACTACTGTCTTTATCATCATCCTCACCATCATAGCCATCTTTCTTGGATTGTAATAAATGCCTTTCAGCTTCATGAGTAATCTGCAAGGACTAATAGGTATTTTTTTAATAGAAGAAACTGAATTAAGAGATGTCTTACCAACGTCCCAAATATCGATTCCATAATTAATATAATTATGTAAAACGTTCTCGAGTTTAACAAATTAAAATTATTTTAAAGAATGATATGAATTTCATAGATTGGAACTGCGGAAGAAACAATGCAAAGAAGATCCTCGCAGTTTCAGACGCAACTTATGTTGCTGTGAAAAAAAAAACCCAAAAAATTCAGCCTTTAAAGTTTTAACACAACACCAACGCGATAAATCTAAAGACTGCGTAAAATCTTTCTGTTGGCAGTCCTTCATGTACCTTATTTGGTGTTTTGCTGAGCCGGTGCTTGTCTGCACTAATGGCCAGAGCACGTTCCTGGTACTCTTTGGCTTGTTCCAAGTCACCTACATCATGATAAATCAAAGCCAAGTTACGGTAGTCTATTGCAACCTTATTATGTTCCGGGCCGAGCTTGTCCAAATCGATGTCTAGAGCACGTTGCTGATACTCCTTGGCTTGTTCAAAGTCACCTAAATGCTTGTAAATCGAAACTAAGTTATCGTAGCTTTTTGCCACATTAACATGTTCCGGGCCGAGCTTTTCCAGGTTAATGTCCAGAGCACGTTGATGATACTCCTTGGCATCCTTAAATTCACCTAAATGCTTGTAAATCAAAGCTAAGTTATGGTAGCTTGTCGCAACATAAACATGTTCCGGGCCCAGTTTTTCCAATTGGATGTCCAGGGCACGTTGCTGATACGCTTTGGCTTGCTCAAAGTCACCTAAATCAATGTAAATTGAAGCTAAATTCGTGTAGCTTGTTGCCACATTAACATGTTCCGGGCCGAGCTTTTCCAGGTCAATGTCCAGAGCACGTTGCTGATACTCCTTGGCTTGCTGAAAGTCACCTAAATGCAGGTGAATGGAAGCTAAGTTTTCGTAGCTTGCTGCAACATCAACATGTTCCGGGCCGAGCGTGTCCAGATCAATGTCCAGAGCACGTTGCTGATACTCCTTGGCTTGCTCAAAGTCACCTAATTTCTTGTAAATGGAAGCTAAATTCGTGTAGCTTGTTGCAACATCGACATGTTTCGGGCCGAGCTTGTCCAGTTGGATGTCAAAAGCACATTGCTGATACTCCTTGGCTTGCTGAAAGTCACCTAATTTCTTGTAAATGGAAGCTAAATTCGTGTAGCTTGTTGCAACATCAACATGTTCCGGGCCGAGCTTGTCCAGTTGGATGTCAAGAGCACGTTGCTGATACTCCTTGGCTTGCTCGAAGTCACCTAAAGCAATGTAAATTGAAGCTAAATTCGTGTAGCTTGTTGCAACATCAACATGTTTCGGGCCGAGCTCTTGAAGCTTAAAAGTAAGTGAATATTCAAAATATGTTTTGGCTCCTTCAAATTCACAGTGCATTTGACAAATATGTCCAAAGTTTTCGCATTTTTCGGAAATCTCCTTACCATGAACTTGAAAGAAATTATCTCGCAAAAACACTTTGTCAGTTACTGTAGTTAAAGCTTTCAAATGTGGAGCGATGTGTCTGGTGTTTAGTCGCTCATTCTCTGGAGGAGTTGCGACGATAAATTCGTTAAATGATGTAATGACCCCACTAACGACCTCATCGGTTTGGCTTTCTGCACACTCTTTTGCTACAGTTTGTATAGCATCATGCACAACCTGGTGAAGTCGAATAAAACAGCCACCCTCGTCATCTTCGAACAGCAGAAGTGAGCTTCTTTTTAATCTCATGCGAATTAATTCTTTGTCCGCTTCATCAAACTCTTCATGTGCGTTCATGACGTAACTAACTACTACGTCGACGTTCAATGGCCTTGGAGCGCAGAGGGCAAGAAAAGTGAAAAGGTGTTTTTGAAATTTGTCGGATCTCATCAGTGTTTCGACGGCTAACGTTATTGCTTTGGTCATTGAATTTGGATAAATTGGATTGGTGTCAACAAGTGTATCCTCCGTTTTCTGTCTTTTGCCTTTTTGTAAGATCTTTAGGTATTCCTCCCACCCAAAATGCGTCGATACCCTGTCCCGCCGAATCTCTTTAACAAAGACGGCAGCGCCTGCTAAAGCAAGTGGCTGATAATCCAGTCTTTGTGCTACTGTTCCTACCAGCTCGCTATCTGGTATACCAGAAAGCTTGGACAATAATGAACGGGCGTCATTGGGCTCCATACCTTTGCTTATTGAGATGTGATTAACGAACGAGCCTTTTGAGGGAATTGACATTGTTTCCTGGGCCGTAATCAGCAACTGGCCCCTGTCCCAAGCATTTGTTGTGAACTGTGGTAGAAGGTCTTGCACAGATGCCATGTTAGTGACGTTGTCAACTACTAGTAACCACGAAGTGTAGCAGCCAATTTTTTCCGCAATAAGCGACGTAAGAGTAGTGATCTTTTTCTCCACATTCCAGTCTTTTGACTCGAGTATTTTTATGACTGAATAGTCTGGGCATTTTAAATGGCGGGCCAATGAGGTGTACGAAACCAGAAGTGAATCTGGACTTGTAGCATTTAAGGTCATTGCAAAGGAAGACCCACCTGGCATTTCTTTCACTTTGTCGTAGAATCTCTTAGCTACGAGACCAGCTAGCTGTGATTTGCCGCTTCCAGGATTCCCTGAGATGTATAAATAACTCAACCTGTTGTCACTGGACTCATTTAGTTCCCTCAGCTGTTGGACTATTTTGGCTACTTCACTTTCACGACCACCGATTTCATGTGAAGGTTTAGGAGGGAGAACACAGAATGAAGGTGCTTCGTTTTGGAGCTGATCCTCAAGGACCTGAACTTCTTGTTTCAGATTATCAACTTCTTTCAGGATCTTTGTTAAATCTTTTGTTGGAAACGATTTCTGATATTTTAGGTCTTGAATTTTTACAGCGGGAAGACTAAGTGCTTGAAACGCAACATCAACTTTGCTAATAGCATTCTGAAAATCTGTCTCAGAGAGACGACCTTGTGGCATGTGAGCGAATTCTTTGTTCCTGAAATTTCTTAGATCATCCACTTTTTTACTGACTATTGCGCTAAGACGCAGCCCGACGCAATCAGAGAAAAGGATGGCGTAAAACAGCATTGTACAATCCCATTCCCCTCTGTTTCCGTTTTTCATAGTGGCCAAAAGATGAGCGTTTCTTTTTTTATTTCGGGGAGACTCTCCGTTATAAAAGTCCATTCCATTACGAGGCTCGTCTTTCCATTCTCCTTTTGCTGATTTGTATAGTTTGTCCCATTCTTGTTTAAATATTTCTCTCAGACCCTCCGCTAGTATGTCAGTAGTTAGATAACAAATTCTGTAATAGTTTAGCTGTTCATCGGTGAATTCTTGTGAAGATGCCATACTTTATGTACGTCTGATGCTTTAACCTTTTGGGAAAATTATCTTTGCAATTAGTGACAACATACCCGGAGGTTGAGTGGGATTATTAACCGATAGAATTAATAATAAAGTGGAAAAACTAATTTAATTAATAAGCATGCGCTGAACCGTGAACCTGTCCCTTTTCCCTGTCCCACTAGGTCTCGGTTCGAACCCCGGCCGGACCAACACTCAGGATCTTTAAATAAATGAGAAGAAAGTGCTGCCTTTGTAATGACATCTGCAAACGGTTACACCTTCTAGTCCTCTCGGATAAGGACGAAAAACCGTAGGTCCCGTTTCACAGCTCTTAAGCTGATCTTGTTCTTGTGGGACGTAAAAGAACCCACACCACTTTTTGAAAATATTAGGGGACGTAGATCCCGGTGTAGTGGTCAACCTTAACACATCACATCATGGTTTTGCTGGGTACAGTAAGCTCATAAATGGACTGACAGCGGCTGCCAGCGGCGCTTTGTATGCTGACGTCCCAACTTACTGTTCACATGTTAAAATGTATTGTAAGGGGGCACGTCTGTTGTCCTCTTCATTCATGCATTCATTCATTCATGGTCCACCGGGCGATACTATCGCACGCAGTCGCGTTTTCCGTTTCTCCAAGCATACGTGAGACGCCTAGGAACGACGCAGTTTATCTAATTATATCGAGTGATGACAGCTTAAAGACTAACAGAAATCTACTAAGCATATCTTCACCCGCCTAAAAATCGTGAAAAAATGAAGCCTGTTCTGCAGGCTACTTTATATTCAGTTTCCCTCTCCAATTCAATAGGATTTACTTTATACTATAAATATTTTAACTAAACTCAGGCCGAATACTTGTAGGACATAACTATGCAAAACAGTATGTCATGCTTTATCTGTATAGACTCTCGATGAAGATTATAGAGTTTCGATGGTAAACGAACTTTCAGAACATAAAGCTTATATCACTTTTTTTGACTTTATGACTGAAGAGAGTTAACGTCAAAAAGTTACTTCTAATTGCGCAATAATTTTTTTGTACTAGCTCTACGTCCCTTACCAAACCATATGTATTTTGAAACGGATTTTAAAGTATTTAAAATGTATTTTCAGTATTTGAACACTATTTTCCTGTATTTTAATACTATTTGATAAAAAAAAAATTTAAATTTTCGCCCCTGTTTGAAATATATCTTGAGTGTAGTTAAATTGTATTTCATGTAAAGGAAAACCTCTCTCATCAGTTTGAAATGTATTTTGTTTAATAAATATGATTAAAATAGAGTATTTAAAATGTATTTTGGGCATAGAACCACTAACACTGTTACAAACAGAGTTCAAATAGACTATTTGAAATATGTTTTAAGGGCTTTTATGCTGACTGTAATTAAGATAGTTTTAAATAGGGTACTTTAACTCTGTTTTGAGTTGTATCTAAAATGTATTTTGAGACGCATCCACTCACAAAGTTACAAACATAGTTCAAATAGACTATTTGAAATATGTTTTAAGAGCCTAAATGCTGACCGTATTTTAAATCCTTTTAAATAGGGTACTTTAACACTGTTTTGAGTTGTATCTAAAATGTATTTTGAGACGCATCCACTGACAAAGTTACAAACAGAGTTCAAATAGACTATTTGAAATATGTTTTAAAACCTTAAGAACTGACCGCATTTTAAATACTTTTAAATAGGGTACTTAAACACTGTTTTGAGGTCTATTTGAATTGTATTTTGGGCACACAGCACTCTGACTATAAAAACAGATTATCCATAAACTATTTGAAGTCTGCTTAAAGTCATCAAATGCTTACCTTATTGTAAATACTTTAAAGTAGTGTACTTATAACTTATTATTACTAGGGTGCAATACTGTAATGTCTTTTGGGAGACTTATACTCAGACTATAAATAAAAGTAACAATTGCACAAAGTTAATTTTTAAGCCTTCATCGTGTCACGAACTCATAAATGACTCAAAACAAGCTGTCACATATTGTGGACCGGATTCTCCTCCCAACAAAGTTCGAAGCTGAGCGAAAAATTAAATCTAAATTAAATAAAAAAAGAGAAGAAAATTAGGAATAGGTTTTAGCTTTGACTGACAACACGTAACTGTGACAGTGTTCCGATAAAAGATCTATCCGTTCCTCACTGTTCATTACCTGCAAGCTCTCTGCGAAAATCTCCGCGTAGATTTTAGCCGTGATTCAATTAATGCAGTTACGGGACTTTCCATAAGTTTTTTAAAAGAAACTTCTTAAAATCGCATTTTAATTTCATATAGAAATTTTTTCACAAACAGCCGAAGCCGCGGGCCGAGAACCGGATGCACGCGGTCAACAGAGGTTTATCTAAAATAAGCCCTTGAAATTACATAATAAATAAATTATCCAAGCTAAGATCTCACCTCATATATATTGCATCAAGAAACAAAGCTCAGATATGAATAAACTCCGACATATGGTTATCTTTCTCTCATAGATTATTCCGCACATGCATGGCATATTATTTCTAAGATGTCACGCGCGACTGAAATCACGACTTCGCGCCGCGGTGATGTGACAAATGCACGTGATAAACAAACCGTCCTTTGTCCTTTGCTCATTTCAAATTATTGTACCGGCGGTTGCTGTGATGGCGGGTGCGCTTGATTTTACTGTTTGTTACGATCTTACAAAAGTATACATTTCAACTCTGCGGATTGTCTGAACACGTAGATGTTGCATTTATCACGGATCAAAAATGGGTATGACTCCTCAGCGACTGTTATGTACTTTGAAAGGATCTGGTTCAGTTTCTCTCCGAAGCACGCGGTCTTGTGCTGTCTTGTGTGTTAATCCAAGAGTCTTCTGTTATGTGAGTATTATACACAATATATGCATAACATGTTACTAAGACGCTTAAGTATACGCCATATGAGAAACAAATGAAGGGTAGTAAACATTTATATACTCCCGCCTGTACGGCAATTTTAGTTTTTACAGGGTTCCATGCTCAGCCTCGCTGTTCTCAGTCACTTGATGTCACGTCACCGACCTCTTTCATGCTCGTGTAAATTTGATGGTGTTATTCTTATGTTGTTCTTTATCAGCCAATAATTAAACGTTCAGGCGTAGCCTGCAAGCTTCTGATAATAATTGAGTAAAGCCGTGAATATAATAAAAAATGTAAGTTACATGTATGTAGATTATTATTTACCGGTAACGTAACGCAATACTCTTTTGAAGCGGAAGATTGATAGCCTGTGTACCGACCCCCTTCCCCTCCGATTTTTATTGAGGGAAGGGGGTTTGTACACAGGCTAAAGATTGATTTCAGCATTTCTGAAAAATTCCATAAGAATTTCCCGAGAATTCGTAGGGAAATCAACGTAAAGTAATCGGCTAAGAGATAATTCCGGTGAAATCCTAGCGTAGGACTGTGTGGAGAAATTTCGCAGAAGTAAATCTTGCTTTTTCAGAGTAATTTTCGACGGTTTTGTATTCATTTTATTTCATGAATTTAAGAGGCTGTCCGCGTAAGAACCGATAAGGCAAATTTTGGTCTATCACGGATTGCCCTGATTTTTTCAGTGGAAGATAACTATCCTATCCCATGAAGAAATATCACATTTATTTGGACCAACTCAATTTTTTCTCTATATTACAGGAAGATTTTCTCGGTCACCTAAAACTGGCCCGTTTGCCGTCAAAAGTGGTGCGATTTTGCTGAAACTTTAGGGCTCTGTCAAACCTACCTTACTCAGCCGAATAATCTGATTATTTTACACACAAAAGTTTTAACTCTGATTAACAGTGTCAAAGTTTAATGGTTGCATTCTGTGGAAATTTGGCTGAGATATGATTTTTTTAAAATGACCGTTAATTTGCTCAGCAGGAAAAGTAATTTGCATAACTAGAGCTGAACGGTAATTTCGCGAAAGTGGCACCTGACCCAGACTCAAGTCTATGATAAATCAGAAGTACTAAGACCAGTCTACTTCTTAATGCAATAAAATTTGTGGGCACTCTTCTCTGCGCGCTGTACAAAGTTCCGTTAATGTTACAAATTCGCCATTTTGACAGCAAAGCTAGAATTGTAACGGTCCGCATTTGATCGACTAATTTCCACAGTTTTAACGTTTCCAGTTATCACCAAATGTCATTAGACCCTTTAAATGTTGGACTTTTGAAAACATGAGGAGAAAACTTGGTAATCGCTTTTTCTTGGTTTTTTTCCTTGTCGACGATCAGAACGCGACTTCATTCTCCGTATGCAAATTAGGCTTAGATGCGTCGTTTCAACAAATTGAATTGACAGGAAACAAAACTGCTTATATTTCACATTTTTAAGGGAAAATGTCTCTTCTTTCCACGGAAAAACACGAACGATATATGACTTAGAATCCCCTTAGGTCTGTTTCACGAGTAAGAAGTAGTATAACAAGATATGTTTACGCGAATTAAAATAATTTAATTACTGTGGCCCGTCACGCATTCCCCGAGAGTGGCTGTGTATCGATCAGTTCTTTTACCTGATTATATTTTTTTTTGAAGTGATAGTTGTTGATAATCATACAATTTAATCACTGTTAATTCCGATTCTTTACTGGGTGGGAAATACGGTGCTGTTGTATTTATTCATTCTACGACCGTTTTAACTGAGTCAGTAGGGACCTTTAGCATCAGGTTTTTCGTGGGAAACGGCAAACCGCAAACCGCAAAATGTCACGTGACCACGGCCTTGCGGTCACGTTTGCAGTTTGCAGTTCACGTTTGAACCGCAGGAAGGGCTTCCAGCGGTAAGTGATTTACGGCAAGGTTTTTTGCCACAAAAAATTGTACAGCCTCGCGTTTAAAGGTATGAACTAGCTTTTTGTATCCGTTGGCGATGTGTTTGTTGGATTTTTGATCTCGAATCAATGAATTATTGCTGATTTTTGGGCGACTAAAGTGATGTACTTCGACTTGATGAAAACAACATGGCGGCCATAAACAATGAACGCGTAGTTCAA